AAAGTGCTTAGCACAGTGCCTGGCTAGTAGTAGGTGCTTAATAAATGTTTGTCCCCTTCTCATGTCCTGTTCTTTTTCATTTAGTCCAGTCACTGATGAAGTGCTAAATGGTGTGGTGATTGGGGACCATGTATCCCATTCCTACCTAGCATACAGGTTAGGCCCAGAATGGGGCTGGGCCATACTTCCTGACTCATGACAGTCAGTAAGAGGTCTCAGAATCTCATAAGTCAAAGGGACCTTAGAGGCAAGAGTGTGTGTTAGAACTAGCTTAAACAAGCTGGCTAAAGCCCATTATTTAATTTTCTGTGTGAATGTTTACTCCTTGGAAATAGGCAAACATTACATATCAGGGCTTGATTTATGGTTTTGTTGATTGTCTGGGCTTAAGAATGTGGAGAAAATGTTAATAATGCAATGTGTACTTTTCTCCCTCAAGAGCTGGTTGTTAAACATTTACTAGTACATCCCTGCTCAGAAACCAACCCATCCCAGGCCAAGAATCTTTGCTACAGTGTCCCCAACAAATGGCGATCCAGTTTCTATGCCCAACCTACTTCTATCCAAAGCAGTTATTTTTACATGAGGATGGCTCTAATTGTTAGGAGCCAAAATCTGACTTTCTGCGATTTTCCCCTGTATTCTTAGTTTTGCCTTCTGGACAAATTTGAGCCCTCTTCCAAAACCTGTCCTTCAGATACTTAAAGATAACTCTCAAGCATCCCAAAGTCTTCCATTCTCCAGGCTGAACAACCTTGTTTCTTCATCTGAGTCTTATAAGACACACTCTTCTCTCCCCTCACCATCCTTGTCATTCTCCCTTAGATGCTTTCTGGTTTATCATTCATAAAACGGGGTGCCCACAATGTAAAATGAGGGTTTTGGATTAGTTGGCCAGTGTGGTCTTTCCAACTATAGATTATCACGACTGAGCAAGGTGTTCCAGATGTGATCTAACCAGGAAAGAAAGAGTACATGGGATGGTCACCTCCCTGGGCCTGGAAATGATATCTCTCAGTACAGTATTAATTTTAATTAATGCTGCATGAAAAGGATCAACTTTTTTTGGCTGCTATATCACAATATCACACTGAGCTTGCTGCTTACTAATATCCCCAGGTCTTTTCCCTCCATCCTGTACTTGGGCATTGGAACTCTTATAAGAGTTCAGAGAGAGGAAAGATTCCCTATAGAAGCGGCTGGTGGTGCAGTGAATAGAACCCTGGGACTCAAGTCAGTAAGATCTGAATCTCAATCCATTCTTAGATACTTACTAGCTGTGTGACCCTAGGCAAGTCGCTTAACCCCTGTTTGCCTCAGTTTCCTCAACTATAAAACAGGGATGATAACAGCACCTACTTCAAAGGGTTGTTGTGAGGATCAAAAGAGATATGTGTGTAAAAAAAAGTAATTAGCACAGTGCCTGGTACGTAGTAGGTGTTATATAAATGTTTATTCCCTTTCTCCCCTCCCCATAGATTGGGCTGGCCAGTGAAGTCTTCAGAGAGGACCAGAAACTTGAGCTAGGCTTGAAGGATAGATAGGCTTTTTATCCATGGAAAGAAAGAGGGCATTTCCTGAAAGGGGTGAAATGAGTGAAGATAATGAGGCCTGAAGGATTGTAGTGTATGGGAAATACCTGAATGCCACATAGTCAGTGTTGTTTTTTATTTCCTGTTCTTCCTGATTTATTTGTTCTACACCCTCTCTAGTGATCCTCCAGCTGGCCCAAAGAATACCTCGGACTCCCAACACCTTGTCTCATTTCCTGAAGAAAACCCCCTGCCGTCACTGTTTGAGGAAGGTGAATGGAGTCAGCTCCTGACCAGTTTCACCAGCCCCATGCCAGGGAACACCACCCAGGTCTCCTGGAGCCCGCCCCCAGCCCCACGCTCCCTGCAGGGACACCATACACCCCGAGTGGTCAGGCAGATCTCCATTACTAAGCCAAACTCCTGGCAACTCAATCAGGAATATCCTTCAGACCCAGAAGTGCCTCCAAGGAGCCCCCCAGGGCCATCTCCAGCCCCTACTATTGTGCCAGAACTCAATGTTGCTGGTGGGCCAAGGCCTGAAGAGAATTTCCAGTGGGACTTTCAGAGAGTACTTTCTGGAGAGCCAGCAATCACTACTGGGGGACAGGCAGGTCCCGTGTTAGGAGATTTCCTGCCTAGTCAGGGCCTGGCTAGGTCTGGTAAGGGGATCGGGGATGCAGATGGAGATGAGGTGGGGCAGGGAAATGGGCCCACTTCAGATATGCTTTCCAAGGGCTCCAGCTCTGAGGGGTCACTGCAGACACTGGGCCCCTCTGCAGACATGCAGGCCAACACCTGGGAAGTGGGTCCAGAGGAGACACCTCATCCAGGTCTGCATCCAGCTGGCTCGGAGCAAGAAGTGGGGTCCTGGGGAAATGAAGTATTCACACCTGGACCAGATGTGCCTGCTGAGACCCCTGAGCTAGCGCTGATACAAGAAAGCATTCCCACGAGGGAGCAAGAACAAGAAAAAATGAGTATAGATGAGAGGGAAGTCGAGGCCATTCAACAGAATGATGCTTCTGGTCAGGAAACTGGGCTCAGAGAATCAACTGGGCCAGATGTGGGTGAAGTTCCTGATGAGGGATCCAGGAGTGCAGAATCACCTCAGCCAGATCTGGGCAAGGTTCCTGGTGAGGGATCCAGGAGTGCAGAATCACCTCAGCCAGATGTGGGC